CAAATAAAATGAATTAAAATGGGAAAACTGTATGATACGTTATTTTATTATTTCCAAAAAATAAATCTGCCTTACAAGCTAAAGTGGTAAGCAATAACAAAAACCTGATGACAAGAGGTATCCCAACGTATATTTTAATCCATATGAATTAAAGTTTAAATAGTTATTTGATGTCTTTTTATAACAGTTTTAGCATATACAACTAAAATAAATGTGAAATTTTTTATTAGGAAAGATCTCAGAAAATTTTACTTTTAAAAATAGTTTCATCCCCCAATTCTAAATGGCTTTACCTTAAAAGCTGGTCTTATAAATCATACCAATGTTTTCTTAGGTCAGTCTCCCAAGGCAACAGAAATAAGAACAAAAATAAACAAATGGGACCTAATAAACTTACAAGCTTTTACACAGCAAAGGAAACCATAAGAAAAAAAAAAAGAAAGAAAGAAAGAAAGAAAAGAAAAGACAACCTACGGAATGGGAGAAAATATTTGCAAATGATGAGACCAACAAGGGCTTAATCTCCAAAAGATACAAACGGCTCATACAACTCAACAACAAAAAATCAAACAACCCAATCGAAAAATGGGCAGAAGGGGACTTCCCTGGCAGTCCAGTGGTTGAGACTTCACCTTCTAAAGCAAGGGGTGCGGGTTTGATCCCTGGTCAGGGAGCTACAATTCCCACATGCCTCATGGGCAAAAAAACAAAACATAAAACAGAAGCAATACTGTAACAAATTCAATAAAGACTTTAAAAAATGGTCCACATCAAAAAAATCTTTTTTAAAAAAAGAAAAATGGGCAGAAAACCTTAATACAGGGGTCCCCAACCCCCGGGCCGCGCACAACTACAGGTCCGTGGCCTGTTAGGAACGGGGCCACACAGCAGAAGGTGAGCAGTGGGCAAGTGAGCGAAGCTTCATATGCCACTAACCACCACTCGCATTACCGCCTGAACCATCATATCCCACCGCACCCCCTACCCCAGTGGAAAAACTGTCTTCCATGAAACCGGTCCCTGGTGCAAAAAAGGTTGGGGACCACTGCCTTAATAGACATTCCTCCAAAGAAGACATACAGATGGCCAGTAGGCACATGAAATGATGCTCAACATCACTAATCATTAGAGAAATGCAAATCAAAACTACAGTGAGGTACCACCTCACACCGCTCAGAATGGCCATCATTAAAAAGTCTACAAATAACACGTGCTAGAGAGGGGTGTGGAGAAAAGGGAACCCTCCTACACTGTCGGTGGGAATGTAAGTTGGTGCAGCCATTGTGAAAAATAATATGGAGGTTCCTCAGAAAACTAAAAATCGAATTACCATATGATCCAGCAATCCCACTCCTGGGCATATACCCAGAGAAAACTATAATTCAAAAAGATACATGCACCCCTATGTTCATAGCAGCACTACTCACAATAGCCAAGACATGGAAAAAACCTAAATGTCCACTGACGGATGAATGGATAAAGAAGATGTGGTACATATATACAATGGAATACTACTTACTCAGCCATAAAAAAGAATGAAATAGGGCTTCCCTGGTGGCGCAGTGGTTGAGAGTCCACCTGCCGATGCAGGGGACACGGGTTCGTGCCCCGGTCTGGGAAGATCCCACATGCCGCGGAGCGGCTGGGCCCGTGAGCCACGGCCGCTGAGCCTGTGCGTCCGGAGCCTGTGCTCCGCGACGGGAGAGGCCGCGACGGGAGAGGCCGCGACAGTGAGAGGCTCACGTACCGCAAAAAAAAAAAAAATGAAATAATGCCATTTGCAGCAACATGGATACAACCGAAGATTATCATGCTAAGTGAAGTCAGAAAGAGAAAGACAAATACCATATGATATCATTTATATGTGGAATCTACAACATGACACAAGTGAACCTATCTATGAAACAGAAACAGACTCACGGACATAGAGAACAGACTTGTGGCTGCTAAGGGGGAGGGGGTTAGGGGAGGGATGGAGTGGGAGTTTGGGGTTAGCAGATGCAAACTATTATATATAGAATGGATAAACAACAAGGTCCTACTGTATAGCATAGGGAACTATATCCAATCTCCTGGGATAAATCATAATAGAAAAGAATATTTTAAAAAAAGAATGATTGTATGTGTATAACTGAGTCACTCTGCTGTACAGCAGAGATTGGCACCACATTGCAAATCAACTACACTTCAATAAAATTAAAAAAAAAAAGCTGGTCTTTGTGATTCACAAAAGCAGGTGCCAATTCCTGAGCACAAACTGAAATGACAGGAGAAACTTTAAATGCTATTACAGCCATGAGTATGAACCCTAATCCAATAATCTGTCTTCACTGATGCCTCTTCATCTCATCTGTGTGAAAGAGGAGAGGAGAGAAGGTTAGGAGTGCCTACTCTGTTCTACAGCGTCCAGCCCAGTGCCAAGAACAAAATACAAGTAAATGTTTGTATACATAAGTGCTCAGAACATTAAAATCCAAGTAAAAGAGAAAACTAATTTCGTAACATATAAATAGCATATATATTGAGGAACATATAACAATACACTATACATTATAATCCAAAACCATAAGCAGGTTCTTTTTTTTTTAATTAATTAATTTACTTATTTATGGCTGCATTGAGTCTTTGTTGCTGTACACAGGCTTTCTCTAGTTGTATCGAGCGGTGGCTACTCTTCGTTGTGGAGTACGGGCTCTAGGAGCACGGGCTTCAGTAGATGTGGTACACAGGCTCAGTAGTTGTGGCTCGCAGGCTCTAGAGTGCAGGCTCAGTAGCTGTGGCACACGGGCTTAGCTGCTTGTGGGATCTTCCCGGACCAGGGCTCGAACCCGTGTCCCCTTCACTAGCAGGTAGATTCTTAACCACTGCGCCACCAGGGAAGTCCCATAAGCAGGTTCTGAGACAAGACGCCTGGTTTTGAAATCTGGCTGGGTGACTGGGGCAAGTTACTTTACCTCTCTGTGCCTCAATTTCCTCACCTCCCAAATGGGGAAAAGGTATTCTCCTCATAAGGTGGTTGTGATGGTTAATTAAGACACGTAAAGTGTTTATAAAAATGTCTCACACATAAAATGCACACAGTAAATGTCAGCTCTCATTATTATTTAAAGGTAATAGAAACAAGTGGCTTAATTGAAGAAACTTTCATTGAGAAATAGCTAAGCAGAGTTCCAAAATTCATGTGCAAAGTCACAAATACCAAATGCTAAAGCTGTATGTTTAGATTCAAGCATTTAATGAAGGGTTATGTTATGATCTCGAATACAGTTTGGGGGATTACAGAAGCAGCCTCCTCATCCCCGCTGCTATACCAACCATTCCCCTTTTCCCCTTGAGCCCAGGCAACATCTTACCACCCAATTAAATCCCTTCCATGAATTAAATTCTTAACGCTTAAAGATATACAAAAAGCAAAGCATTTCTAAGTTTAGCAAAGCAACCACTAGTACATAAGTACAATAAAATGCTTTTATTTTAGAGTAAATAAAACTCCAAAATTTACAATAGTGAATCAAGGTGGACTGTGGGTCAGGATACAAGGGGTAGACAAAGGAGAAGAAAAGGAAAATGGACAACAGGAGGAATATGAGACTTCAGAGAGAAAGCTGTGAATATGTAACTCCTGAATATTCTTTTTCTCCTTCCTATAATCATAAGGGCTTTTCACACAGATAACATGTAAAAGCAAGGCACTGCAACATTTAAAACAGATTTTTGTAAAATTCATTTCCTGAAACTCTTGCTGGCTCCATTAATTTTCACTTAAAGCAATTCAGAATTTGAAAGAAACATACACAAAATAAAGAAGGCACTGCTGTTAATTTGTGGGTGATTTTTTTTTCCTGCTATCAACAGGCCACACACCTGGCAGTTGTTTTTCCAGAGTCAATGAGACACAGATCATCCACATTCCCTTACTACCTTAATTATTAAGAAAACACAGAGCTAGCCAGGATTCCAATGGGCAGTTTCTCTCTCCAGAAGGCTGACTGCCACTTGGGGAGCACCCTGCATCCTCAGCTTATTAGCTCTTCCACTAACCCCTGCAGATAAGGAGCAAATCTACACGAAATTACGAACAGTTACAGAAACTGTTTCTCAAACTAGGCATTTTCTTATTCCCCACCCCCACTCCCTCTCAAATATTCTATACCAAAGGTGTGTCCCCAAGCAGAGAATCCAGCCCCTCTCTTCCTTCACACCCTTTGGAGGCTTCTGGAGAATTCACACATCTGGTTGGCAATTCCCTGAATCCTGCCTATTCAAGCCAATATCTGAGCTGAGTCTTCAGGTTAGGTTTTAAAAAAACGTGCTTAATGGGGACCAGGTGGGAATGTCCATGCACTCTCAAGTTTATTGAATAAAGGTAATGATTTAAGACGTTTACCACGCACTAATTATGAATTGAATCCCTGAGTGAGGGTGCTGCATGCACGAAAAAACTCCAGCTTAATGTCCCCATTTTTAAAAAGGAGGGAGGAATCTCCAAAATTACAAATTTAAATTTCCACATGCTAAAAACCCTGTCAGACTGATGAATTTCAAAGAAATACCTATTTGTATATTACTAACATAACTGCATAGAAACAAGACAGGAAGCACGTAGACTACAATATAGCGTTGGTATGAATATATACGGCATATGATATTCATACATATCCTTTTTTATTTCTTTCTAACCACACCCTCTTTGAGTGGCTTCCTAGGCTCGCCGGGGCCAAACAGCGTCACGCTGTCCGGCGACCGGCCGGTTGGGGGTCCCAGCCAGGCACTCAAAGGTGAGAACGCGGCCCTGGGCAGCGGGCGGGCGCTCCGGCTCTCCAAGGGGTCCCCCTCCCGCGGGTCCGCCCAGTCCTGCCCTGCCCGGCAGCCCCGCAGGCCGCAGCCCGGCCTCTCTGCGACCCCGGCGCCGCCCGCCCCAGCCCAGAAGGCGGCCGCCCTGCGACCCAGCCCGGGCGGGGAAGGGCCAGGCGGCCGGGCTGCGAGGGCCCCAAACTCACCATGGCCGAAGAGCCACAGGCGCGCCCACAGCCCAGAGTCACACGGCGCCGGCAACGCCCGTTGTCCTGGTGACGCCAACTGGGCGCCCCGCCCCGTCCCCTAGGTGGGCTCAGAGGCGGCCATTGGCTGCCGAACAGCACATGACGCGCAGGGGCGGTGCCCTTTGGACCGCCCCCCGCCCCACGATTCGGCTCTTGGGCGGGGCCTCTTTGGCTTTCCGCCTTTGCATCTGTCCCTCTTCACTCTGATCACCTTGACATCCTTCACCTGACAGATGACCCAGCCGCATACTGACCTGATGGGAAAGGCCTTTATGGACTTACCTTATTTAAGAAACCTTATTTAAGTTACCTTGATTACACAGGTAACACATGATTATTTGAGACATTTTATTTATCTATTTAAATTTATTTATTTATTTATTTTTGGCTGCGTTGGGTCTTCGTTGCTGCACGCGGGCTTTCTCTAGTTGCGGTGAACCGGGGCTACTCTTTGTTGTGGTGCACAGGCTTCTCACTGCGGTGGATTCTCTCGTTACGGAGCACGGGCTCTAGGCGCACCGGCTTCAGTAGTTGTGGCACGCGGGCTCAGTAGTTGTGGCTCACGGGCTCTAGAGCACAGGCTCAGTAGCTGTGGCGCACGGGCTTAGCTGCTCCGCGGCATGTGGGATCTTCCCGGACCAGGGCTCGAACCTGTGTCCCCTGCATTAGCAGGCAGATTCTTAACGTGTGTGCCACCGGGGAAGTCCTGGAGACATTTTAAACAATAACGAATTAAAAAGAATAAAACCACACCAAATCTCAGCACCTGATATAACCACTGCTTATATTTTAGTCTATCTGCTTCCAAGCCCGCAACAAAATGTACATTATTATAATATTCTTGGAAATGGAAGCAAACCATACGCACTTTTATTATCTACTTTTTTCAATTTAAAAATTATCCTTGGGCTTCCCTGGTGGCGCAGTGGTTGAGAGTCCGCCTGCCGATGCAGGGGACACGGGTTCGTGCCCCGGTCCGGGAAGATCCCACATGCCGCAGAGAGGCTGGGCCCGTGAGCCACGGCCGCTGAGCCTGCGCGCCCGGAGCCTGTGCTCCGCAACGGGAGAGGCCACAACAGTGAGAGGCCCGCGTACCGCAAAAAAAAAAAAATCCTGGCATGCCAATTCATGTCATGGCATTGTATGTATACACTCTAATTTATTAAATCATTCAACAACTTGTTGGATGTTTTTAATATGGTTGACAGGAACTTTAGATATCCTCAAATCCAGCCCATTAAGTCTATGGAGACATACTCACAGTGGATCTGTCATCTCCCCCTGAATGTCTAATAGACATCCCACACTTAACGATAGCCCCAATAAGACTTTTGATCCAAGTTTCTTACTCTCCCTAAACAAATGGACAACTGTAGCCCTCAACAATCAACACCAGAAAGCCCTGTGAAGAGGAAGAGAATTTGTAGTGATAGAAAGTAGATTACTGGTTGTTCACAGCTGGGGTAGGAGTGGTAGAGGACGAGATAATAACTAAAGAGTATGAGGTTTCCTTTTGAGGTGATGGAAGTGTTCTAAAGTTGACTGTGGGGGCTTCCCTGGTGGCGCAGTGGTTAAGAATCCGCCTGCCAATGCAGGGGACACGGGTTGGAGCCCTGGTCTTGGAAGATCCCACATGCCGCGGAGCAACTAAGCCCGTGCGCCACAACTACTGAGCCTGTGCTCTAGAGCCCGTGAACCACAACTACTGAAGCCCATGTGCCACAACTACTGAAGCCCACGCACCCAGAGCCTGTGCTCTGCAACAAGAGAAGCCACCGCAATGAGAAGCCTGTGCCCCACAACAAAGAGTAGCCCCTGCTCACTGCAACTAGAGAAAGCCTGCGTGCAGCAGTGAAGACCCAATGCAGCCAAAAACTAATGAATAAATAAATAAATTTAAAGTTGACTGTGGTGATGGTTGCACACATCTATGAATATACTAAAAACCACTGCGTTGTACAGTTTGTGTGAAATGCATAGTATGTGAGTTATATTTCAATAAAGCTGTGTGGTTTTTTTTGTTTTGTTTTTATAAATTTTTTAATTAATTTATTTATTTTAGGCTGAGTTGGGCCTTTGTTGCTGCACGCAGGCTTTCTCTAGTTGTGGCGAGTGGGGGCTACTCTTCGTTGCAGTGTGCAGGCTTCTCATTGTGGTGGCTTCTCTTGTTGCAGAGCACCAGCTCTAGGCACATGGACTTCAGTTGTTGTGGCACACAGGCTCAGTAGTTGTGGCTTGTGGGCTCTAGAGTGCAGGCTCAGTAGTTGTGGCACACAGGCTTAGTTGCTCCGCAGCATGTGGGATCTTCCCGGACCAGGGCTCGAACCCATGTCCCCTGCATTGGCAGGCAGATTCTTAACCACTGCACCACCATGGAAGCCCAAGCTGTGTTTTTTTTAAAGCTATGTTGTTGCTCATACATACTCTCAACTTTAATTAATCTTGATAATTTGTCTTTGTATCAATATGATATATCCCTCTTTGGAACTTTTCACTTTGAATCCATTCTTTTTTCCCCAGCTTTACTGAGGTATAATTGACAATTTAAAATTGTACATATTTAAGGTGTACAACGTGATGATTTGATATATGTATACATTGTGAAATAATGACCACAGTTCAGTTAACATACCCATTACCTCACTTACCACTATTTTTCTTTCTCTTTCTTTCTTTCAGTGATAACTCTTAAGATCTACCTTCTTAGCAAATGTCAAGTACACAAAACAGTATTGTTAACTATATTCACATTGTTATTCATTAGATATCCAAAACCTATTCATCTTGCATAACTGAAATTTTGTACCCCTTGACCAGCATCTCCTCATTTCCCTCTACCCCCAGTCCTTGGTAACCACCATTCCACTCTCTGCCTCTGTGCATCTGACTATTTTAGAATGCACATATAAGTGAGATCATGCAGTATTTGTCTTTGTGTCCAGTTTCTTTCAGTTAGCATAATATCCTCAAGGTTCATCCATGTCACAAACGGCAGGATTTTCTTTTTAAACACTGAATAACATTCCATTGTATAATATATAGATTTCCCTTTCTAAAAGTTTATATGAATGTATTCATACAATAATTAGGATTTTGAAACTGGCTTCTTTTACTTAGCACATTTTCAAGATTCCTCCAAGTTGTAGCATGTACCAGTACTTCATTCCTTTTTATGGTTAAATAATATTCCTTGAAAGGATATACCACAGTTTTGTTTATCCATTTGTTCACTGATGGTCATTTCCATCTTTTTGGCTGTCATGAATAATGCTGCGATGAATATTTATGAACACTTTTTTTTTTGACCGTGCCATGTGGCATACAGGATCTTCCCTGACCAGGGATCAAACCCATGCCCCCTTCATTGGGAGCACAGAGTCTTAACCACTGGACCTCCAGGGAAGTCCTGCATACATTTTCATACAGACACGTGTTTCTGTTTCTCTTGGGTGTTTATCTAGGGTATATATCTAGAAGTAAAATTTCTGGGTCATAAGGTAATTCTGTTTCAGCATTTGAGGTACTGCCAGAGTGCTTTCCAAAGTGGCTGCACCATTTTATATTCCCACCAACAGTGTGTAAGGATACCAATTTCTCCACAGCCGTGTCATATGTCGAAGAAAAAAGTAGTAAAAATGAAGGCAGTTTAATTAAGACAATTAAAAAATAAGCCACAGATTGGGAGAATGTGTCTGCAAAACACATATCTGATAAAGAACTTGTATCCAGAATATACAAAGCACTTTTAAAACTCAACAATAAGAAAACAAACAACCCAACTTAAAAATGATCAAAAGATCTGAACAGACACTTCATCAAAGAAGATATACAGATGGCAAATAGCATATGAAAAGATAATCAAGGGTGGCCAAGATGGCAAAGTAGGAAGACCCTGAGCTCACCTCCTCCCATGGGCAAACCAAAATCACAACTATTTACAGAGCAACTATCTATGAGAACTAAAGACCAGCAGAAAAGATTTTTCACAACTAAAGATATGAAAAAAGAACCATAATGAGATGGATAGGAGGGGCAAAGATGTAATATAGCCAAGACCCATACCCTCAGGTAGGTAACCCACAAATGAGAGGATAATCATAATTACAGAGATTGTCCCCAAGGAGTTAGGGATCCTAGCCTCAGATTGAGCTCACCAGCCTGGGGTCCTGCACCAGGAAAACGAGTTCCCAGAACATCTGGCTTTGAAGGCCAGTGGAGCTTGCATAGGAGAGCCAGAGGGCTGTAGGAAACAAAGACTCTGCTCTTAAAGGGCACACACAAAATCTCACATACTCCAAGACTCAGCTGAGAGGCAGGAATTTCAAAGGAGCCTGGTTCAGATCCATTTGCTGACTTTGGAGAACCTCCCAAAGAGGCAGAAAGCAACTGAGACACCTCCTGGGGACAGAGATGCTGCTAGTAGCCATTTGGGGGAGCTTGTCCTACCACGACGACACTGATGCAAGCACCATTCTGGAGTCCTCCCTCCAGCCCAGGGGTCCCTAACCGCTGGGCCACAGATCCGTAACAGTCCATGGCCTGTTAGGAATGGGGCCATGCAGCAGGAGGTGAGCGGCGGGTGAGCAAGCAAAGCTTCATTTGTATTTACAGCTGCTCCCCATTGCTTGCATTACCACCTGAGCTCCACCTCCTGTCAGATCATCGGCAGCATTAGATTCTCACAGGAGCACGAACCCTGCGGTGAACTGCCCATGTGAGGGATGCAAACCCTACTGTGAAATGTGCGTTCAAGGGATCTAGGTTGCACGCTCCTTATGAGAATCTAATGCCTAATGATCTGAGGTGGAGCTGAGGCAGTGATGCTAGCGCTGGGGAGCGGCTGCAAATACAGATTATCATTAGCAGAGAGGTTTGACTGTGTGTACATTAAAGTACATGCCCTTAACTCACATCTGTTTGCACAGCTCTGTGAGGAGATGGACGCAGAGCACACACATCTTCTCTTAAACACAGAAGTGAGATGGCTTTCTAAATGTAGATCACTGGCCAGAGTTTTTGAGTTATGA